ATAAACTGTAGTTAAAAACAAAAGCAGGGCTTCTCTGGTGGCGCAGTGGTTGAGAGTCCACCCGGGGATGCAGGGGGCACGGGTTCGTGCCCCGGTCCGGGAAGATCCCACATGCCGCGGAGTGGCTGGGCCCGTGGGCCATGGCCGTTGAACCTGTGCGTCTGGAGCCCGTGCTCCGCAACGGGAGAGGCCACAGCAGTGAGAGGCCCGCGTATCGCAAAAAAAAGCAAAACAAAAATAAACAAAACAAAAAGCAAACAACACTATATATAATGCCCTTTCCAAATCAGAGAGCAGAGGTCTACAGTTGATTAAGCTTTCAGCATCCCCAAATATGTGCTATCCCTGCAAAAATGAGCGAAAACCCCAAAATATGTTCTCTCTGAGGAGCAAACAAGGGTCTAGCCTTCTCTGTGTCAATAGCTCAGTTCATCCCCCTGCAGTCATTATGATGGCTAATTACAGGCCAACATTCCACAATGTCAGATGGTCACCACAGCTCAGCCTTCTGGCTCCCATCTTCCCAAAGGCTGGGAGGTCTTCCTTTTGAGAGAGTTAAACAGGAATAAGGAAAGTGAGACTAATTTATGCAAATGTGTGCGACATAAATCAGATTGTGTCTGCCAGATAGCACAAATCGCTGGGGTGATTTAGTGCTTTCCCACTCTGCACAGAAAGAGTTCCAGACACCAGCTCTTTAGTTTGGTGGCCGTGTACCTGGGTCACCAACTAGATTTCGCCACAGTAATTTGTTTCTTTACCTTTTGAAAATAAACAGACACGATTCAGTCTAATGTGTGACTTGAATAAGTAAACCCATAAAGGGAGCTTCAGTGTCTGGAATAAATTAACCAGACCTGAAGAAAGTTAGAACCAGGAAAATTTTAACTTAAGATAAAGTAGAATTAAAAAGAATTTTATAAGGGAAAAAGGAAAGTGAGAGCTTGGTCAACATTGATAAATATCATAGAGAGATGGGAGAACGGGGAGTGGGGGCTACCTGAAAGGAAGCAATTAATTTTTGTGAACTTTATAAGCTCAATGGCAGTAGAATAACGGCGATCAAAGCCAAATAAGAGTGGCTTTAAGAAATGAACGGGAATTGAATAAGTAAAGACAGTGAAAATGTTTACAGGAAACTTAGGTAAGAAAGATAAGAAATGCAGATGTAGCTTAAAGGGCATGACAGGTCAAGGAAAGGATTTTTTTTTGTTGAGCAGAGCAATGAGTCACAGAAGCATGACTAACGCAGAGCAGCGAGTAGATAGAGATTTCCAGAAAGAAAGGGAACAAAAGATTGTCCTCAAACAGGCAATGGGGATTCAGAACGTGTTCATACAGCAGGTCAAAACTTAAACCTCAGGTGTTTAAACATGTAACTTTATCTCCTTTTCTGTAATGGAACCTAAATTAGCTCTTCAGCCCCATTTCAACACAGTACGTGTGTCACTTTTTGCTTAAATTAGAGTCAATTCAAGATTTAAACTCAGGCAGTTGAATATTAAAGATTGTCCTCCTCGCTCTTCTTCCCTCTTCCCCAGGAGGGACCTGAGTTTTCCAGAGGTCTGTCTGCTGTTCTGGCACCTTGTCTCCGCTGCAGGACGGGTGAAAGTACCTGGTCAGGGGCATCATCCTGATGTGCCAGATGCTGATGACGTCTGTGGTCCCACCACAGTTTCTGGTCTCATGTTGTGTCTGCTCTGCATTCTCCTCAACTAGACCCTACTGCAACTTCCATGCTCAATCTCATTCGGGAAGATGGGACCCTCACCTGCCCCACCCACATCGTACTTTCAGGCCCACCTACCTACTCACCACACCTCTGGCATTGCCCATCCATTGCACACAAACGCTTCCAGAGTCCCCAGCTAAATCCAGTAAACCAAGTAATGGTCCCTTTTGTCTTGAATCCCTTGAACTTTTCTGGAGGTTTATGATGCTTCCCTATGAGCCAGCAGAATGTAGGGAGACCCCTACATTCAGGCAGCCTCTAGCTATTTAACTCCAGCCATTTTCCTTCCATCCTCCCTGTTGGGCCAGTTGCAGGGACTTCCATGGCCATTACCAGGGAGCAGATGCTGCTCTTTCAATTTGGAGAAAAAAACTGCTATAGTCAGTGCTTTCATTATTTAAAAACATTGACAGTGACTAACTCTGAATTCCACTGAAGAATCTAGAACAGAAAAAGCTAGGGGACTGCCCTGGTGGTCCAGCTGTTAAGACTCCACGCTCCCAATGCAAGGGGCCTGGGTTCGATCCCTGGTCAGGGAACTAGATCCCACATGCTGCAACTAAGAGCCCGCATACTGCAACTAAGACCCAGTGCAGCCAAATAAATAAATAATTTAAAAGGTTTTTTAAGAAAAAGAAACAACTAAATAAACTAAAAGCTGGTTGGAAATAGGCATTAGTTTAAAAAAAAAAGGCAGTCAAATATGTTACCTACTGATTCCCATGGACTTTCCTCAAATCCCATTTGTTAGCCCTGGAGGCCCTCATCCTTCCTGTTTCAGAAAGCCGTGTCTCAGTTGGCATCCCATCCGTGTCAACAAAACTGTCAAGAACTGCAAGAGGTCTGAGATTTTACTCTACTTGCAAACTAACAAGTTAACCTATGATCAGGGATGTTGACATGAGATATGAGACTCCTGGGTCAGAGACAAAGAACTTTATTACAGCAACAGCAGTAGCTAGAGTATTAGCATTTTCTTGCACTGATTCTCCAAGTCTCAAATCCCACCAAGTGACACGAGGAGGGCTAGGTGCCTCCTTCACATGCAGTGGATTGAGTTACAGGAGAGGAACTGTGTTCATTACTGTAGATGGAGGGAGAGGTTGAGAGAAGCTGCCCTTGAATAGAAATGTCATGTGGAAATATAGTTGCCTTGTCTCAATCATGCTATGGGACCTAATGCATAAGATGTCCACATCTGAACCAAAGTCCTATAGGAGGAGAAAAGTCTCCCTAAGACAGCAGAAGAGGCACTGGTTTCCAGAGACAGAGTCCCCAGGGAAAGGTGAATCCCTGATTTGGTTAAGCTGCTCTTTCCCAGAAGCTCCTCCCTCCATTTTTTTTTTTTTTTAATTAGCCAGCTTTTCTTTTTTTTCATTTTCTTTTTATTTATTTTTGGCTGCATTTGGTCTTTGTTGCTGCACGTGGGCTTTCTCTAGTTGCGGCGAGCGGGGGCCACTCTTTGTTGCGGTGCATGGGCATCTCGCTGCGGTGGCTTCTCTTGTTGTGGAGCACGGGCCCTAGAGCAAGTGGGCTTCAGTAGTTGCAGCACGCAGGCTCAGTAGTTGTGGCTCGTGTGCTCTAGAGTGCAGGCTCAGCAGTTGTGGTGCACAGGCTTAATTGCTCTGCGGCATGTGGAATCTTCCCAGACCAGGGATCGAAACCGAGTCCCCTGCATTGGCAGGAGGATTCTTTAACCACTGCGCCACTAAGGAATTCCCGCCTTCCTCCATCTCTCAGATGGCAAAATCTTGGTTTGATTTAAAGAGAAAAAGTGGTCCCCCTTCCATCATCGATCTAAATCGTCTTTAATGGTTTTCCCTCCAGAGTCCCCGGAATGTTAGTTTCTCTACATTCCCATATCCAGCCCTGTTTCCTTTTCACCCTGGCTGATTTTAGTTGGCCTTATCTATTACCAGGAAGTCAATTACCTTGTGTAGATTGCTTCTATACCAATGTAGTTGCTCCCCATATATTGACATACCCAAGTCACATAGTCACTCGTAGTTCAGATGGTTTACGAGGGTTTAGGTTGGTTTTATAATTTGCTAAAGGTTATGTCATATGACACATCCTCTCTAAATAAAAAGAATTAGCCTTTCACATATGAACTTTGGCACATGTGAGCCCTTCATAAATATTTATTGAATGAATGAATGAATAAGCTAGATAAGAAAATAAGGGACCTACGCTGATAGTGGTTAATGATAATATGTCTTTATTTGTAAATATATTAGAGTTTGAGATGAACTGTCCTTCATACACATAAATATGCTGCTACTCCACCATTAATGCAGTTTCCTCCCATGCTGGTGATGAATCTGTAGTGAGTGATCTGCCGTTACTCTTTTATCTGGGCTTCCTTGTAAAATGAATGACACACACTAGTGGATCAATAGAAGAAGCGTCTGCCTCCATGCTTTTTCCTTCCCAGGGTCTATCTCCTCCCGCTCTCCTTAAACACCACGCACCAATTCAGTGGAGGATGGGGTTGTCTGATTATGAAACAGAATCAGTGGAGGATGGGGTAGTCTGATTATGAAACAGAATACAATTAACAGTGTCATGTGGGGATTGAAATCATGACCTCACGCGTATTATACTTGTAACCAGTGAAGCGATGACAAATCTTTGCATTTTTAGGAGTTAGCTAAACATTCAGCCTTTACATGAATGCCTTGGGAAAGGGCTTCAAGAGCTAGACAGGTAAATACTCTAACTTTTTACTCACAACCAAATTTCTAAGCTGTATACTCACTTACTAGTAGTAAGGAAAATCTTGAAATATCATTGAAGTCACCTACATTTCCTAAAGGTGTATATCATACATCAGACAGAAGACACAGGGTAGGGGAGAGAAAGGAAAGAAAATGTAATTGAATTGAAATATGCGTGCGATGTCTACATCTTCTGCCTCAGAAGTCTGTGTCTCTTGGCAAAAATTACTTTCAGAAAGTATTAGTTCCCTATAGTCAGCTTAAAGACTTCCTGGAATGTCATGCTAAAAATGAGTCAAATTCCTGGCTAATTTCCTTCAAGACAACACAAAGAAGATATTACACTGCTTGCTTTGGCCCAGAGCTCCTCTTATCTAAAAATAAATAAGTATATTTAACAAGAAAGAAATTCTAAGCCTTTAAAGAAATCTTGATTTTACTTGTTATACGAAACTCTTGCTATATCTGTCCCGGCTTTGTCGTAGTTTTAGGCACTTCTAGGCATACCAGAGAGACATCTCGTTTAAATTACCGAGGTTCTGTGCTTTTAGGAGACACTGGATTAGGAACGAGACACCTCAACCAGACTCCTCCGGCTCTTTCCGAGTATGGGCACAACCTCCTGACAAGCTGGCAACTTCAGATGAATGTCAAGTATTTGAAAAGCGAAGTTGGTTGACTGCCACCTCCTCGCTGTTTTGACACTTTAACCTTAAACCTTAAAATTGAGGTATACTTTTTTAACTATATTTTTTTATATTCCCTATATAGAAAATGTGTTTTCTATATGTTTCTATATATTTTTCTATATCTCTGTATATCAGTGGACTCTCCATTCAGTTCATTTGTACCTCATTTTGGAAAGTAAGTTGGTAACTGTATCGAAAATCTCAGAGTGTTCACAGCTTTCCTCCCAGTAAATCCAGACCTCGGATTCTTTCCTAAACAAAGCATCCTAAACATCCAAAACGTTACTGCAGCATTATAATATTGCAGAGGACCCAGGCCCCCAACAAGAAGGCATAGTTAAACAAAGCATAATTACATTTACAAAGGGTGTTTAATAATATGGGCAAATGTCTGTTTCTTCTATTAACTGAAAGGTTGGACGCAAAGTTATTTGTATAATCACAGTATACGTATCCTGGCAGGTAGTAAGCGTTTTATAAATATTTGTTAAGTGAACCAAGGAATGAATCACAACTATATTAAAAAGAAAAGACTTGCATAGAAAAAGAGGCTGAAACATTTTTTATATATGGATATGGTTATCTCTGGATGACAAACCTAGGCATAATTTTTTCTATACTTTGTAATTATAATTAACACCTAACCTTTTCTTAACAAGAAAAACAAAATTTATTTTGTAAAAGAAATATGTTCAGGAGCATATTCTAGAGATAACAGAGAAATTCAACTGAATATTTAAGCCTTCTTAGTGTGATAACTTTTTAAAAAATATGGTCTATAAGGCTAAACTACATTTTTTGAGAATTGTCATTCATGGCAATAACATAGTATTTATCATCATGATCACAGCTACCCTTTACTGAGTACCTAAATTATGTCAGGTTACAAGATAACATTTTATTTGATTGTTGTGCGGGTCTCAGCCTATTAATGTGATGCTATCGGTTAGGAATGCCTGAGACACTCGCCTGGGGCCTGCTACTTATGGCAGCCCCCCAGACATCTCCCCAACTTGAAGCAGTGTTGTGGCTGGACCAGCCCTTGTTTTTTTTTTATCATGATGCAGCACACACCTCAGCAACAACCATCAGGGAACTTTGAAGGACAAGATTTATTATTCACAGGTCCTGGAGGGTACATGGCATGCCCAAGAGCCACACAGTGAGGTCACAGTGGAAGGGAATGCAGACCAGGAGCTCTGCCTTTATTAGGGTCCAAAGGTTGGGTATCTAGCATTTTGAGAATTCACTCTTTATTGATGAATTTAAAGCTCAGAGCTGGAATGAGGGCGTGGGTAGGGAGAAGTGGGGTCACTCCAGTGATCAGTTTTCTATGTTACTCAGGGCTTCCTGAATAGGGACCTGCATGGGTGGGGGCAGCCTGGTTTCTTGTCTAGATGTTTTGATAATATCTGTGTCATGCAGCTGGCAATATGTTTATTCGAGATGAATGTCTTCAAAATGGCTGCCTTGGCAATAAAAAGCATACTGTCGGGCACTTACACTACAACTATTTCATTTAAACTTTATTTTATTCATTCATTTGATACATATTTTGAGCACTAACTAAATGCAAGGCACTGTTTTAAACATAGGAATATAAAGATGGATAACAAAGAGTCTTTACCATGAAGAAAATTGTGAGGAGATTAGACCTTGTAAAAATTAATAAGCAGAAACCTCAATTAAAATAGAATCAGGAAGCCAGACAGGGGAGCTGTCACTCCCTAAGAGGATAGCTGAACTCACCAAGAAAAAGAAAAACTTCCTCTTCCTGCCTAGCAAGAGCTCAGCCAATGAGAGACTGTCACGACTCAGCCAATGAAAGCCACTCTGATTGGACCTCTCAATTCCTCCAATGGATTCTTTGTTTACTGTGGCCCTCCCAAATCCTTTTTCCCCTCTTTAAGTGTTCTTTTGTTGTATGTGGTCTTGCACATGGCTCGTCATGGTTATAAACCCTGAACTGCAATCTTTTGTTGATGCCAATTAAACCCATTTTTGCTGGAGAAATAGCTGGCAGTCTATTTGTTTTAGGTCAACAACCTTAATCAGATAAGGACAGTAGTGTTCTGGCTGCTGACAGACATTTGTGGGGGCACAAAGGAGGGGTGATTACATCCAGGTCAGAAATGTGGGTAATGGGAAGGGCTAACGATTGAGCTAAAACTATAGAATTAAAGCAAAGGCCCCTGTTGTCTGCTCCACCTGGTTGGAGGGAGGGAGGGAGGGAAGGCCAGTCTGAGACTCAGGTCAAGGCTACGAGACAAATGGCCTGACTCCTTCTTCAGAAACCTTGGGTCAGGAAATGGGCTTTCTCCACCTTCCTGAAGTCTCCCAATGCAGACATTTGAGAAATTTTCCATTTTCTAATATATATATATATATATTTTTTTTTGTATTTTCACATGCCATTTTACCAACAACATGCTTTTTTTACAATCCTTGCTTCTCTCCTAGCAATCCTCTAAGTTTCATTGCATATTCTTAAATGCTTATAAAACACATGGTTTTTTTAAAAATAAAAATGGCCCTGAGAAACCTGTCTCCATAATGATAGAAAACCGTGACTTTAGATCTTGCTGCCAGGCTCCTGTCAGATATTTAAACCAAATGGTTTCCTTAAATTAAGGGCTAGGAGAGAAAGAAAAAATGGAAGGTAGTATTTAAGGCAGATTTAAAAGAGTACAGTGGACAGTTGTGATTTTTGAGACCTAAATTTGTACTGACTACTAAATATATCTAGACTGATCATAGATTCAAGCTCATTTATTAATGATGACAATAATGCTACCTAAGCTTTTTAAAGAACCATCTGTATGCCGGGCACTCTTCAAAATTCTTTATACAGATTACCTCCATCAACTATTATACCAATGCTATAAGGCAGAAGAATCTTCTAATCCTCATTTTACCAATGACTAATTGTGAAAACTTTATTTATGTTAACTATTTTCATAAGGAAACAAAATCAGACATACTGGAAAGGGTGAAGCAGTTTCTAAACAAGTGATTAAGTTGCAAGTTGGCTTGAATCTTCTGTTTACACATTATGGATTCTTCTCAAATTATCAGAATCCACTAACTTTTAGTTAGCACTTATACATAGCAAATATAACATACCTTAGGCTAGGGGCATATTAATTGTACTTTATATATTTGTAAAACAATCTGCCCTCAAACATGCTCTAATAAAAATATTCTTACAGTGATCCATCTTAAAAGGACATGGCCCCAAGGAAGTGACTTGAACATAAATAATTAAGTGAAGGAGGAGGAGTAAGCATCTCACCTCCTGTTTGCATGGATTTTACCAGGGGGCCATCCAGTTACTAGCTCTGGGCTGTTTTCAGGAACTGCCAAGCACACTAAGTTCAGGGACCTCCTTCCTCCCATTAACTTTATTATAAAGGTTTCCAGGGTTTAATAAACAAACACAGAGCTTAGCAAAGGAATCAGCTATCATATCATAAATTATAACAGCCACAGAACTTTACCATCTAAATAGTGGTATTCAAGTCAAGTATTTCTATGGGATGGATTTTAATAGTCCTTACAGAATGGAATTTTTAAGAAATAGAATGCCCTTAACAATGGACTATTACAAATCCTGGATGCCTCCTCCAGTTTTTCCTGCAGGTAAATAAAAAATAGTACAGCTCTTCAGGGTGCTTAAGCCTCCTCCAACAAAGTGCAGGTTCTTCAACAGACAGATGGAAAATTGAGACCCAGGATTGCAGGAGTCAGGCTGCTATAGAATGAATAGCTGACCAACTTTGCTTCCTCCTTGATTCTCTTCACAAAATAATAAATGACAGAGGAGAATTAGAATGTGTTACTTCCAGAGCAATATCCTTCTGTGATACAACAATAACTGGTGAAAGACAGATGATGGGAAGGAGTGTGGAGACTTCATTCAGACTTGGGTCTGGGAAGAGCTTGGAATCAGTTATCCAATCAGAAGCAGAAGCCATGTTTGATGGGCAAGTGGCAAAAAAAAAAAAAAAGAGTGCTGATCTTGTTTGTTTGTCTGTTTTTTACAGGATGTGTGCTCTTGAAGAAGGGATAGAAAATAATAAAACCTACGTGCATCAGTGAGGGCCTTTTCTTTCACCTTTACATGCAGGAGATTCTTTAAAAATATGTCCACTATGCCTCTAATCAATAAAAACCAAAGATGTCCAATAAAATCTATTTGAGAAATCCTAATAGAAGTTTTAAAACTTCTTTCCTTTTATAATTCCATTTAATAGCCCTATCTTGAATACTAGGCTAATACATTTGTTAACCAGTAACGCATCAATAAAATAATGTTCTCAGCTGTCCCTTGAAACAGGAGCCAGGCCTCTGAAGATCCTGAGGTATTTGTTAGTTGGTTGGTTGGTTAGTTAGTTAGTTAAGAAAATTATGGTCAAGCCTCCTCAGACTTTTCACCAAGACAGTAAAATGAAGAAAAGTAAATTGAGATTGAAATAAGGCACTTGTTTTCTCATCTGTTCACGTGGGAAAGGGTTGTTTGTCATCTGCATGCCCCCATGACAAACATTTATTGAGAATCTATGGGCAAGACACAGCTGGCCTAATGATATTAGATCAATTGGGTGATGGCCCCGTGGGGGAGAGAGCTGGCCATCCAGATACTGATGGGAGAAGAGATCAAAAACGCCATCATGGAGGCAAGTGGCTGAGACAGTCTGTCCCACACCAAGCTACGGACCACAGGGGTTCAAAAGGAGGAAGCAGTACTTCTGATCCTCAGAGAGCTCATGGGCCTTATGTGACCCGAGAGAGTTTAGGTCCTCTTCCTAGCACCACAGGAAGGGAAAACTAGATCTAAGTCTAAAACTCACTGTCCCATAACTGCTATAACTTTTGCAGCACCTACAGGAGATGATCAATTTGAGAAAGGAAATGGCTAATTCCATCATCAGGAAATATAAAGGAGCACCTACATATTTTATATAATAAAATAGGTAGCACTTATTGAGAGCTTACCTTGTGCTGTATATAATCCTAAACACTTTACATGCATTATTTCATTTAACCCCCATAGTAATCCCATGAGGTAGGTACCATTGTCATTTCCATTGTATAGATGAAGGAACTGAGCCACAGAGATATTATGTATCACAAGTGGCATTGTTTTCTTCAGAATCTGCTCTTTTGACCCTTCTGCTGCTCTGTACATTGTTAAGAATAATAAATACCTAATGCGATTGAAATAATACTATCCCAAAGCAGTTTATGTAACCCCAGGGCTTCTAAGCGTCTGCATACTGCTTATTTGAAGTAATATTAAATAAAGCATGTGTCCTAATATAATTAGGACAGTCATATAATCCTTGGGCATTCCTAATAATGGAATTGAATTATGGTCCAACTACTAATAACACGTTAAACTATCCAGAGGAAGACGTCAAGGACTGAGGTGTGATTTACTTTTTCCTTGGACGGCTAAGGTAATCTGACAAAACGAAACCCTCCAAACTACACGGAGGCAAGATGTTTGACAGGCTCTTCCTGGCTCTTCTAAAATGCAATTTTGGCAGCAGCTTTTGACAGGACATCATTTCACACACACAAATAGGAGGCCATGGATTATCACAAGGAGGCTAATCCTGAGCTCAAATATTTCCTCTGTACATCCAAAATGACTTCTAAAAGGCTGTGATTACTCTGAAAATGTAGGCACTGTAGGCTCTGAATTCCTCTTTGGAGCTCCCTCTGTGAGGAAACAAACATAAAGGAACCTAACCTAGTGCAGGAATCATCTCCAGGAGGCAACATTCAGATTTCTCAACTTGAAGGACTAAGAGTGGGGGAAGGGAGAGGAGGGAGGAGTATTCCTGGAAGAAGGAACAGTTGACACAAAGGACTGAAAGCAAGAAAATGCAAGTGAGGCTAGAATTTTAGTGTAACTGGAGGTCAGTGCTTGAGGAAAAGCTGAGAGAGTGGAAGCAGACTCCGCTGTTAGGAATTTATCCCTGGGGCGAAAGGAAGCTATTGAAAGATTTTAGCAAATGTTAAGCCTATCTACTATTTCCCAGGCTTGGTTTAAGGATTTATGAAATGATGTTTGTAAAGTACATTTGCAGCCTTTAAAAATGAGTATGAAAGAAATACTAAGTTGTTTCTATCTTTTCCCCCAGATGGCAAATGCAAAACGTCATCCATAAGGTCTTCAGGAAAGGAACCCATGGATCTCCTTTTAATTATGAAGAGGTTCCCAGACATTTCCTCATGGCTCATTTCCTCATCCCACATAGTCCAAGTCATAGATCAAGAATCTATAAGATTTAAATGGCAAATATCCACACATTTATAAACGGCTTTGGTAGAATCATGCTTTCAAACATGTTTTTGCTCATAATTCTCTGGCAAGTGACAAAACCATTACCTTCCTGTGAATTAATTCTTCCAGAACATCTCAGTTTACCCAAGTAACAACCACGGAGGGCTCACGAAACATCCTTGGCGATTGACTTCTGAAGTACACGCAACAAACCAGGAACAGCATCCATGATCCACGGAGCCCCTGTAACCAGGTAAAGCTGCAGAAGCTACTAAGCACTTGGGAGAAATGTGGAAAACTCCACTGTTGGGAAAGACAGAAGAATAAAACCCAATTCCAGGACCCACTGGGTCATCCTGCAACACACCTAGGTAATCACCACTTTGGCAGAAAGTACACACAATGGGCACAAATGAATCTTCATCTCTCTTTATCCTTTTCTAGCCTAAGGGCAATGGATGGATGATTATGACCACTTCTCCCTGGAACTTATAATCACTATGCTTTTCATCCACTCAACACATTTTATGAGCTTCTGCTCTGTTCTGGGCACCAACCATATTGGGCACCAGAAAAGAGAAGTTAAATAAGACTTGGTCCCTGACTTTGAATTTCTCACAGTGAGATGAAAGAGGTAGGCAGGTTATAGTTAGAGTCAGGGCTAACAGAACACTGGACATTATTTGAAACTACCGGATATATATTATCCCCAGAACCAGGGTCAGAATGAAAAATAAACAGGAATTCCCAGCTGCAAGGTCTTACCAAACAATCCCCTTTCCCCTGGACAACAGTTAATCTTTAATAGGAAAAACAGGAAGCATCCTATTCAAATTCCTGGTTGATGGATGCAGGCTGAATATTCATTAGGGTGGTGGTGGAGGGGAGCAGGAGGGAGAAAATAGCAGGAAGCCGAGAACACCCATAGCATGAGACTTTTTCAGATTGTTAAGATGTGTTTCCTAGACAGCTTCCATGGAGGAGGGTTGTCACATTTTTCCTATTGTGAGACTACATATGACAATGATAATTTAGATAGTAAAATAGTCTTTAGCTCCTAATAATTGTCAGTTCACAAATTCTGTATACATTTTAACATTAAGGCATATGAAAGTAAAAGCATCATTTGCGTTAGGACTGTCACCTAAAGTCAGATTAAAGGAATATAGAGATAGTATAAAAAGATAGTTATGATGTAGTGCAGCCACGGGAGCTAACAAAAAAGAATACACTTTCTTCTTGCTAGTTTTGTGGCTGTTATTAAGCTGCTGCTTTCCTGCTACTGACAAATACCATCCTTGGGCTTGGCTGGGTGGTTGGTGGACAGGTAAGCCTAGAGGCGGACTGCCAGAGATGGGATCATATATATACAGTAGTGCTGTAAGCACAACACGATAAAGTACCTCTAGAAGAATGGATGTCTGTCTTTTTCTCTCTACTCTCTGAGAATAAATGCATATTGGCAGTATAATTAGCAGGCCTATGTCTTGCTGGATTGAGACGTCATCACTGAATGCAGCTCCTCAAAGGGACAGCTAGGAAATTTTAAAGGTGACCTAAAAATGGGGTTTGAATATAAAAACTGAAAAATTCTTGCTGGCAATATTTAAGTAGAAGCTTAGTGCATTTGGCTGTGCTGCACAAAGGAAATCAGTGTTCTCTATTAGCTAAATTTGAGGTCATTTGTGTTTGCTTTCCCAACCCCTGAGAAACCACAATTCTTTCATAGTGAGTCACAGCCCTCTCACCTTCCTTCCCCTCCTCCTTCCCCCACTCACTTCACCTCCAGCCTGCATCCTTCTGACAAACACCCAGAGCTTGGCCGGATCAACCCTTTGTGTTCAGGCTCCTTCTCGCACATCTTCCTCGGGGAATGGGATGAGGCAGTGGCAGCCTGACTCCCTCGCAGTGTCACTCTGACACCACAGCCTCTTATACAGAGAACACCCAGCTCCAGGAGCGGAGGGTACATAGGAGCAAATGACACTGCAGAATCACCTGACATTACTGTCACCTCCCCTTCCTCCCGGAAGAACACGGGCAAAGCCTTCAGGGGATGAAAAGGAGTCACAGAAAGGTGGCCTGCTAGAGGGAAGGGTAGGTATGGTAGGGTGTTAAGGAAAGTGGAGAAGCCTAGAAGAGGGGATTATTGATAATTTGATGAATACAGATCTCAAGGCTTGTTGTTTGCACCTTTTCAAGGTGCCCCACCTCCTTTCCTCCCTACCATTCCACCTGAATGCCCGCACACCCTTTCTAAAGAAGGATGGAGGAAACCTTTGGGAGGAAGGATGAAGTGGTCACATACCCTTATACCCATGGGTTCTCTCCCCAGAAAATGAACATGCACGTTATATTTTTGCAAAAAAAATTTCAGTTTTGGCTCTCCCCAAATCCTTTCTATAGTTCACTTCTCCAAGTCAGAAATCCACCTCAGAGATCAACGTGAACTCAGCGGTCAGCGCCAGGATACTCCCAGGTGCAGTGCTGCCTTGGAATTCTGAACTGTCCTGTTTGCACACCTAAGACCCAACTAACTGCTTGTGCTACTTAGCGACTTTGCCCTTTATAAATCACTTAACACGTCATTCCATTGGGACCCTCTGGAACTTGGTGTGGTTGGTCATGCCATTTACAGGTGAGCCTCAGGGGTGTTAGAGCGTCGTGCCTGACATCAGCCCCCAGTGAGAGTGCAGCTGGAACTCCAACTGCGTCTCTTGACTCCAGAGCCCCGCTTGATCCTCCTTTCCTTGCACCTCATTTTTAGAATCTTGTATGTTTAATCCCTCACGACTGGGCACTTAAAACGTAATTCTGATCCAGATATTTGTCCAAGAATTTGGGAACCCAGGAAATTCCACCTTCAGGGTGAAAAATACTTTTTTTTTTTTTAATTCAAAGCATTCTTTGGCATTTTATGGCATGAAAATAAATACTTTAGGTGCACACACCCTTCTCTATTGGCAGGTTTCACTGACACAAATGGGTCCTTCAACATTCTAGTGAGACTTGGCTTGGTGTTACTCTTCGACACCCCCAATCTGCTACTCATTTGTGGCCGCTCCACCCCTGAGAATAAGGCATCCCCCAAAGGCCAACCTTAAGGGAGTCAGGAGCATTGGATGTGAGGTAAGTGGCTGGCAGACAATTAGCACGTTGGCAGAATTAACTTCTCTTGGCTTCGTTCTTTTAAAGAACTGTGGAAGAAAGCAATTTCTTTTTTTTTTTTAATAAATTTATTTGTTTATTTTTGGCTGTGTTGGGTCTTTGTTGCTGCACGCTGGCTTTCTCTAGTTGTGATGAGCGGGGGCTACTCTTTGTTGCGGTGCGTGGGCTTCTCATTGCGGTAGCTTCTCTTGTTGTGGAGCACGGGCTCTAGGTGCATGGGCTTCAGTAGTTGTGGCATGCGGGCTCAGTAGTTGTGGCTCACGGGCTCTAGAGCGCAGGCTCAGTAGTTGTGGCGCATGGCTTAGTTGCTCCACGGCATGCGGGATCTTCCCGGACCAGGGCTCGAACCTGTGTCCCCTGCCTTGGCAGGAGGATTCTTAACCACTGTGCCACCAGGGAAGTCCCAGAAAGCAATTTCAAATGAATCATTTCATCTCTCTGGGACATCGTCTCACCATCTATACATCAGGCCTGACTCTGGTTGGTCTTTCTGTACAAAGCTGAGTTGTGAAGAGGCCAAGAGTCCTTCCAAGGTTAGCAGGCTTCTGAGCTCCTGGGTAAAAGTGAGTGCATTAGAGTCCTAGGGCTGCCATTAACAGAGGACCACAAACTGAGTGGCTTAAATAACAGTTTAAGCCACAAACTGAGTGGCTCTCACAGTTCTGGAGGCTAGATATCCAAGATCAAGGTATTAGCAGGGCCATGCTCCCTCTGAAGGTACTAGGGAAGGATCTGTTCCAGGCCTCTGCCCTGGCTTCTGGTAGTTTCTTGGCTTGTGGCAACACAACTGCAGTCTTCACAGGGAGTTCTGTGTATGTTTGCATGTGTGTGTGTGCGTGCGTGTGTGTGTTGATCTCTTCACGTGGTGTTTATAAGGACACCAGTCACATTGCATTAGGAGTCCACCCGAAACAAGGATACAGTTCAGGTGCACCCTCTCCCCTCCTAGCATTCTCACACACATGCACACGCACTCATGTGCACACACACACTTTTGCACTCAAGTAAGCCGGAGAAGACCTTTGGTATATGAGCTGCCATCTCTTGCAAAGCTGAGATGCTGGAGCCCCCTAGGTGTAATGCTGAGACTGTTCTCCACGAAGTTTCTGACTGCTAGGGTGTAAAAGAATATCAAGAATTAATTTGATAGTTGTACTCCTATGAACATACTTCTAGAAAATAATTCCATTTTATTCTATTCATGTATCCATACAGTCTGTAATATGCTATTATATGTGTGTGTATTTGTGTGTTCACTGGAGCTTTTCTTTTATAATAAGAAAAATAAAAACTTAAGGGCTAACATTATGAAACACTTTTAAAAAAAACCTTATATTTTATCCATACAATGAATTATGAATCAACTGATTTAAAAACATATTTTTGGAGATTTTTGCAATGTCTTTGGAAAATGCCCACAAAATGATTATTAAAAGAAAAAAGTAGGCTGTAAGACTATACTAAAATGATAAAATTCTCCAAAAGGTTAATGGTGTTTACCCTTGAGTTTTAGTATTGTGAGTGTTTTAATTTCCTTTTTTAGACTCTTCTGTGTTTTCTAAGCTTTCTATAATGAATATGTATTATATTTACAAACAGAAAAAACAACAGTAGTGGAAGCATAAGGAAGAATCCATGCCTAGTTCTTTCCCTTAAACCTTCTCAGCCCTCCCCTCGTCCTCCCCTGGGGGAATTTCCGGTTTCTTTTTCCTGCCTTCATTTAAGAAGTAAACAATGCAGGATCCCAGGTCAGACTTGCTTCCATACAATAAGAGAAGACCCTCTGGCTAAATTCCTCTCCTCTTTTTTCCTCTCACTGCCCTTCGTGCTAACTCGGAGTACAGGGCATCTTGACGAACACTGCAAACAGCAACCTGGTCTTTGCACCGCGGCCCTCTAAGGTTCAGATTGCTGAGCCAGAGTTAAATCCCACGAGAGAGCGAGAGCAGGGGGTGGGGCAGGGGAGAGAGGAGGGGAGAGGAATAGGTGGATCTGAATTCAGGCTGATGCAGGCTTCCTGGATGGAATCTGTCCACTTCGGGCAGAGATGAATGAAAAACTCAGGCCCCTTCCCACAGGTTTGGAACCCTGGCCCTGAGCCCTGAGCTGTGCATTTTATTTATCTTCTTTGTGGGCTGAACAGGTGAAACTGCTTTAGCTGAAGGAAGTGGCACAAATTTACTTATGTATTAGATTAGCAGGATGCATCCATCAGACCGACCTCTGGACCACCCGATTCAGGAGACAAGTCCTCCCTGGAGCTCACAGACAGTGACAGTCGCTCCGGCTCCAGGCGGACTGGGTGGGCAGGCGTCCCTCTGTCAGTGAGCCTGGCTGATGGGCGGAGAGCTGGGCCGGCTCCCCTTCCCAGAGGTAGAGTTGATTGTTCAGCGATGTGCAGATCACACAACTGGAGAGAGGAAAGGCTGGTTATTAGGACTTAAATTTCCATCTTCCCACCGCTGTGAGACTGTGATGTATGGCTCTGCTGAGACCTTTAGCATCTTCACCTCTCCAGCCAAGTGTACAGTGCAAGACTCACCCAAGCAAACCTTTCCAGCGATGGTAATTCTTTATCCTCTTCTTTCCTTTATCTCCTCCCCAACCCTGCCTCCCTCCCTGCCCTCCCTCCCACAGACAATCAGCCAATGAACAAAAAGCTTGGCTTTGTTTCATCTCTCACCTGTTCTAATAGATCTTAGGCTGAAACACCACAGGGCCCACCTCTGATGAATATTAAGATTAAACTCCTCTCCCTCCCAGCATCTGTCTCTCCTCCAGGCTCAGGAGTCAGCCTCTACTCCCCTGCCATGCTGCTCTCCCCAGTTCCTCTTTCTCACACTCCCCCCCTCTTTGGCCTACATCCTTTCCCAGACAGAGGCAATGTGTTAACTTGTCCCCACCTGAGACAAAGAAAGGGGCCTTTGTCATACCTGCAGGAACCTAAATATTATCATCATTTAATTACTGCCATTCTCCCAGGCCAACTTCTTGGCAGCAAGCTCTCCTTTAGTTAAATAGGCTTTTAAGTTTTCCCAGGGAGGCTGCATCAGAGATACTTTGTGAATGGAGACTAATTTGGGGCGTTGCTGCCGGTATAAAGAGGTCACTCCAAGGTAATCGAACCTTAAAAGACAAACTGGGAGAAAGGTTACGCGTTTCCTCCGGGCACAGATCATCTTTTGGAAACTGCTGCTACTCTCAGATTCAACGTCTTGGGCACAGACCAGTGGACTGTGTTACTAACTGGCCTAGATTCGGTTCTTTTCTTTTTTTTCTCCAAGGAGAAAAGGAGAGCTGGGTCACATTCACTGTGTCTTTGGTTGCCAGGAATTGTCCTTTTGGTTGTGCTCAGGCAAAAGGACAGCTTGACTACAGTCTTCTGGAATGCGCATCAGCTGGGTGTCTCTGGTTGACCCTAAAAGGTGCCAGAGCCTTTCAAGCTCTGAAACGTCGCTTGCTCTGTAAAAAGACCAGAGGATTTCACACCTGAAGGGACAACATTCCAGACAAAAATGGCAGGCTCCTGGCCTTTGGAAACGGGAACCCTGATTTGTTGCATTTGTTAAGGTGACTGTAGGAACACAGATGTATCTCAGGCTGCCCAGACATTTCTAATTTTATGTGGTCAAAGTCATAACTTTCACATTTCCTTATGATGTTCTCATGGGAAGGCTCTGATGATAGGTTCCTTTAGTGCTGCCAGCTGGAGTGATCCTTCAGTTGCTCTCATTTTTGGCCACCTAGATGGCAAAAAAAAAAAATCAACACATCTCATTGACTATTCCCAGTATTGGAAGACTGGAGAGCGTTATTATCTGCATGCCCAGATTGTCTCTGTCTGTCCTAACCTTTTTTTCCTTTTAGTATTATTACACAGATATAATTGATATAAAGTGCAGCTTTAAGGTGTACAACATGTTGATTTGATACATTTACATATAGTAGAATGATTACCACCATAGTATTAACTATACCTCTACCACGTCACATAATTAACATTCTTTTTTGTGGTGGGAACAATTAAGATCTATTCTCTTAGCAACTTTGAAGTTTATAACACAGTACTGTTGATTATAATCTCTATGCTGTGCATTAGATCTCTAATACTTATTTATTGGTTGCAAGTTTATAGCCTTAAATGACATCTCCATAATTCCCCCACCTCCCAGCCCCTGGTAACCACCGTTCTATTCTGTTTTTACGAGTTCAGCTTTTTTAGATTCCACTTATACGTGATATCACACAGTATTTGTCTTTCTCTCTGACTTATCTCACTCAGCATAATGCCCTCACGTTCCATCCATGTTGTCACAAATGACTAATATGGTGAGTGGATTTGGAGTATCATCAAAAACATGTTTTTCCTACATTTCCTCCCACAGTAATTGATTCCTAAGGAATCTAGAAGATAATTCAGCAAATGATACCTGTACCTTGGAAATATTTTTAAAACTCAGTATGTCAACCCTAGCCTATAAGCACAAGAAACAAAATTTATTAGGCCAATCTAGAAAAAAGGGTGAATAAGCATAGAACTATTAACAAAAGTAAACAGTTATAAACATTGGCACAAGTATCACTTCTTCTTTGGGTCTTGGAGGCTTATTCAGAATCAAGGTGCTAGACAGTTGAGTTCAAAAAATTATCAAACCAGGGCTTCCCTGGTGGCGCAGTGGTTGGGAGTCTGCCTGCCGATGCAGGGGACACGGGTTCGTGCCCCGGTCCGGGAAGATCCCACGTGCTGCGGAGCCTGCGCGTCTGGAGCCTGTGCTCCGCAACAGGAAAGGCCACAATAGTGAGAGGCCCGTGTACTGCAAAACAAAAACAAAAACAAACAAACAAACAAATTATCAAACCAGACCTTCTGGGTGAAAACTGAGCACTGAACACACCTACTTGCCCCCTCTCCTTCCTAAAGCTGCACAAAGTAAAAGTACAAGGACTTTCAAAGACAAATGCAAAGGACAACAGGAGAGGAGAGAAGAACAAAAAACTTTTGGAAGCCAGAAAGCAAATGAAAATTCACAGCCATGAAAATCCTGTCTTACTTTGCAGAACCCTCCAAAAACTCAGGAGCTGGTAGTACCAGATACTTCTGAAAGTAGAGGTGAAGACGGAGCTAAAGACAAAATCAGTTGTTAGTTGAGAAAAGAGTTAGACCCCCAGGTGGCCTCCCCAAATCCAAGCACCAGGCAGATTCTCCCTCCCTCACCAGGAGAAGACTTGAGGCATATTCTCTAGACGGGGAAAAACAGAAGGTCTTGGACAGGAGATGCTAGGCCTATTGAGAGTGGGAGCCATACTGAAAATGGGGTCACATACCAATCAACGTAGAGCTTCTCCAGCCTTCTCCCCCAAGTTGGCTCCCAAAGTGCTGGGAGTCAAGGTTAGATTCTGGCTTAGAAGTTTATTCTCTGATGAATGATAAAAATAACATGACCAGCTCAAGAGAGGGAGAGGGAAACTAAAGGTACCACATTAAGGATCTCCCCCACGAAAATAGTGCAGCAAGGTCCCCCTACAGTGAAGACCACCCATGGGCACAGAGCTCTAGCCATCAACCTTTTAGCCCTTCATACATAAATATGAGCAGGAAGCCAAGGATCACCAGACTATGTGAGGAAATCCTATAAAGTAAAATACAAAGACTATATGGGTGTAAGAAAAAAAAGTATTTAATATTAATATAGAGGTAAGACAATATACTGGATCTGTAAAGCAAAAATAGATGATATACAAAATGAACATTTGGGACGCATAAATGGTATTTTATTCACACAGTAGCACTTCATACATCAATGAGACTGAATAATTATCGGTGTGTGCTGCGATGGATCTCACAAACACGATGTTGAGTAAAAGAAGCCAGATACAAAAAAGCACATATTCTGTGATTCCAGCTAGAAAATGTTCACAATAAAGGCTACAGTGTTAGAAGTCAGCATGGTAGTTACTTGTTAAAGGGAAGGAGTGGAGAAAATCTTACAAGTTTCCAATATGAAAATAAAAATAAAATAGGCTTTACGCAAAGCATCACGAATCAGAATGGCATTAAATTTCTCAGTAGCATCTGGAAACTACAAGATAATGAAGCAATGCCTTCAAATTTCTGAGGAAGAATGATTTGTATATCCAGCCAATTATCAATTAATTGTGAAGGTACACTAAACGTATTTTCAGACATACAAGGCCTTTAGAGACTTACCTTTCTTTCTTTTCTCAGCAAGCTACTGGAAGCTCTTGGAAGCTAGATATGCCAGAAATATATGCAGAAAAATGGAAACGAGATCCAGGAAACAGATGAACCACTGAAGAGAGAAGCAATAACAATTCCCAAGATGATGGCCAAGGGAAAGCCTAAGAAGATGAATTCACAAAATATACTGATTAGAGAGGAAATTTACACAATTAGGGAAAGCTTAGGACTATATATATGTACTATACTATATGTACTATTATATGTATATATTGCATATGTGTACTATTATAATTAGTACATTATGCACATTATAAAACACAATATAAATAAAAGGATGAAGTAAAAATAAATATAAATAAGCATTCTATTATTTTTCCCTCCTCCCAGTGAATCTCTGATGCACCTCCTGCTTGCACCCCATGGGACACCCCTAATACAAGGGATAACTTCCTGATGTTAGTTGATCAGATTAGCCAGGGGAAATCATGCCTGAAGGAAATGGGCCAGAGAAAAGGTAAATGTTGACCCTGGGAGAGAGGATGGAACACGGGCCGAAGCCAGCCTCGTCTGTGGTGGGTTTTGCAAGGCACCACAAGGTAAGTTCTGGGAACCCAGACCAGCATGAGGGCCTGAGCCTCAGAGGCCTGGACCTGGGGACCAGAGAGCCATAAACTCTTGGAAAAAGCAAGTGCCTTCAAGACCTTCTCAGTTACACCTCTCGTTTTACCAACGAGAATACTTTAGTAGTTCTAAATCCACTTAACATATCTGCATTTTATGGATGTCCAAATAAAGGTATGAAAAGTAAATATAAAGAGATCTTACGTATGTTTAATTTTCTGCCCTAATTGTCTTCCACCGACTACCTGTGCTGCCAACTCTCTTGTTTGCCGCTGTCCAGGATATAAGTTTCCTCTCACTCGACGCCTCTACAGTTCCTTTACTCCTCTGAGCTGGAGCTGGGCATGTGTCTTCAGAAAACATTCTTTGAAATATTTTTGAAGAGCTTCACAGAGTCCTTGTTATCTAATAGATAGGCCAAAAATCTGACTCCAGGCGTGTTTTCCTTTTCTGTTCTATCAAAGGAAAATAAAGATGAAAAGCCTTTTTATATCTTATTAGGACATTTTTAAGTAAATAGTTTTAGTCAAAGATGTTAGAGGCAGTCTCCTCTAACTGAGGTGTATTTAAGTGGCTAGATAGAATAACTTCCAGCTTACGAATTGAGCCCATTGACCATAATTGCTTGTGACGGTAGGCATGTGACACAGAGATTAGCATAATTGTGATTGTAACTCCTATTAGCATTTATAAATATAATTAGAGCCAAGTATTGGGCTATGTTAGGAAGTTTTCACTAAAATTTCTTTGGTGAAGAAAAGCACATGCTCCTCCACCGGGAGGCGGCATCATGATTAGGGCATAGACTGGCTCTGTGACCTCTAACCTCGCAGTGTCTCCCTTTCCTCATCAGTAAAGCACTGTGTGATTATTCAGTATTCATGTTAAAGGTGCACTGGTTGAAGAATTTTGCTTCTACTTAAAGGAGAAACAAGATCAGATTTGCCTACTGCCTGAAACAAACATACACACAAAAACAGCAAAATACATGACACAGGGGCTTCCCTGGTGGCGCAGTGGTTGAGAGTCCGCCTGCCGATGCAGGGGACACGGGTTCGTGCCCCAGTCTGGGAAGATCCCACATGCCGTGGAGCGGCTGGGCCTGTGAGCCATGGCCGCTGGGCCTGCGCGTCCAGAGCCTGTGCTCCGCAACGGGAGAGGCCACAACAGTGAGAGGCCCGCGTCCCGCAAAAAAAAAAAACAAAAAAAAACACGAAAAAACATGACACAACAGTTTTTGAGACACTGCTTATCAGGCAATGGAGGACAGTGATCCCTGAATGATACCGACCAGGGTTCTTGGCCTTCCCCAATCAAGAGAAATTGACTCGAGGCCAGACAGGAAATTCAGGCAAGGCTTTACTGGGGCCCCTGCGCCGGCTGCAGGAGGGAGTGAGAACAAGTAACAGGTTCCCCTGATCGTTCCTTATATTGGGTGAGGGTAAGGGTGTGTCCAGGGGTCGGGCTAGAGGGGTGGCTTAGGTGGTGTGTCCACCCCTCTGTGGTGCTGAGGGCAGTGTGGCATGCACAGTACCCTGCTTTTGCTCCCTACACCCAGCTTTTGCTCCCGGCTCTTCAGAAATGGCAGTTGGTTTTTTTGTCTTTTTGTGTCTTTTGGTCCAGAATTTGCCCCAACTGCTGCATGCACACAGTTACCTTTAGTCCCATATAGTTTCTTTTTATTTTGTAGCTCCAGGAGAGGTGTGTCCAGGTGCAAGCTTTGCAGCACTGCAGCAAAGGGTCCCAGGTCCCAGGCCTGTCTCATGAAGAATGGGAAACAAATTAGGTGAGCCCTACTATTGTCCCAGCTTACTGCCTTGAGAGGGTTTCTGCTCTGTGGCATAGGAAGGCGAGACCCGGGCAGAGCCTGGTGGACTCTCCATAGTAGGGAGATGGGGATGAGAGTCCAGGGAGCCCAAGGCAGCTCAAGTACCAAACAGAGTGCCAGAGAGGAAACAGCTGCACACAGAGGGAACCCTGGAGATGTGGAAGATGTCCCCTGGAGTATACAGCAGAGTTCTGACCACTACATGCATGTGAAGATACTACCCCTTGCCAGAGGAAAAGCAACCTGACAGGATTAGATAAAAAGCACCCAATTCTCACAAAGGGCCAAGAATGTAGCCTGTTCCCACTAGTCAGCCTAGAAAAAAAATCAAACTTTTTGGGACACTGGGCAGAATACTCAGGAATGCTATGCCTCAGTACTGGGAAAAATTTAGACACCTACCAAATACTGTACCAGATCCACTTCACAAATTAGAACATTGACCGGCAGAGTTCAAACGACTTTCAAGTAACTTAATTGCATCCCAGAGCAAAGCTCAAGAATGACTATAGGAAAAGAAAATATCCAGCATCCAAAGAAAGTAATAATCACAATGGCTGGCATCCAGTCAAGGATTACCAGACATTCAAAGTATAAGGAACACATAACCCATAATGAGGAATCAATCAATCAGAACTGAATTGGTAAACAAGAATGTTAAAACAGTTATTATAACTATAATCCAGATATTCAAAAGGTTAAGTACAGATGTAAAGAAAGTTTTTTTTAAAAAACTGAAAATACCCAGATTGAACTACAGATGAAAACTGCAACATCTGAAATGAAAAATAAACAGATGGGATTAATAGTAGATTAGTCAGTCATAAGAATACATTTGTAAACTTGAAAACATGGCAATAGAAACTACCCAAAATACAACACAAAGAGAAAAAAAAAATTTTTTTAATGAAGGGTATCAAGTCAAGTGGCCTAATACGTGTGTAATTAGAATCACCCAAGGAGAGGAGAGAGAGAGGTCATGGAAATAATATTTGAAGAAATAATGGCTGAAAATGTTCCAAATTTAATTAAAACTGGAAACCCACAGATCCAAGAAACTCAACAAACCCCCAAGCAAAATAAGCATGAAGAGAATTACATCAAGGCCTATCTTAATCAAATTGCTAAAGAAACCAGTGATAAACAGAAAATTTATAGCAGCCAGAGAAAAAGATGAGATGTTACACAAAGAGACACAAAGCTAAAGATGAGAGCAGATTTTTCACTAGAAACAATGTTAGCAAGACAATCTCTTTAAAATACTAAAAGACAAAAACTGTCAAGCTAGAATTTTACAACCAGCAAGGATATCTTTCAAAAACAAAGGTAAAATAAAGACGTTTTCAGACACACAAAAACTTGAAGAATTCACCAGCAAACCCACATGACAGGAAATTTTAAATAGTCTTTCAGGCAGAAGGAAAATGATACCAGATGAAAATATGCATCTATACAAAAAGCACTGGAAATAGTAAGTATATGTGATTTTTAAATAAATCTCTTTATAAGATAATTGACTTTTTTTGTTTTTTTAATTTATTTATTTTATTTACTTTTGGCTGGGTTGCCTCTTTGTTGCTGCATGCGGGCTTTCTCTAGTTGCGGCGAGTGGGGGCTACTCTTCGTTGTGGTGTGCAGTCTTCTCATTGAGGTGGCTTCTCGTTGCAGAGCACAGGCTCAGTAGTTGTGGTGCATGGGCTCAGTAGTTGTGACTCGTGGGCTCTAGAGCGCAGGCTCAGTAGTTGTGGTGCATGGGCTTAGTTGCTCCGCGGCATGTGGGATCTTCTCAGACCAGGGATCGAACCTGCATCCCCTGCATTGGCAGGCGGATTCTTAACCACTGCACCACCAGGGAAGTCCCAATAATTGACTGTTTAATCATAAATAATAGCATTGTAATGTGGAGTTTATAATATATATATATATAAGCAAAACATGACAACAACAGCATAACAACCAGGAAGGAAGAAATTGAAATATTCTATTTTAAGGTACTTATACTATACATGAAGTCGTAAATTGTCACTTACAGGAAGACAGTGATAAGTTAGAGTTATATACTATACACTACACACTATATACACTACATTTGAGCAACCTCTGTGTTTGTGATAATTTGCAACACTGAAAAAAATCTAATATACTTAATCCTACCTGAAACAGTGTTTAAAACAAAGTCTATGTCTGAGCAAATGTTATCTTGAAAGTGTTGATTTTTTTTCTCAACCTGTTTTCTAACAAAGCTCTTTGTTGGTTTTCCTTCTTCTGCATCCCCAATACAGTATTAAAGAAATATCTCAAAGTTACCAATCTGCTCAACATCAACTCTCCAGCAGTGCTAAATGTAGCTATTCATCTCTGTACAATTATAAGCTGCTTCATTACTTTTATTTCCCTTGTCCTCTTGGTCCATCAAACTTACTGAGTTATAGGGAAGAAAAGTTAATCCTATTATGTAATTACATTAATTATTGCTACATGAATCACTCAGTAGGGAAAAATAGCAAGCCTGGTATAATGAGAAACTAAAAGAAGTGACCATTTGTAACCCCGCATCTGATAGGCCAAGTTAAAGTCACCATGAATTGACAGGTTGTTTTCCCTGAAATATGACAGTTGTCAAAAAAAGTGTGATTTCCAGGTGAGCTATGTGTGGTGTCATATCCACCTAATGCACATGGGGGACCATAGGACCCATGGAAACAAGCAGCATATCTCTCGGGTTATTCTTTGAGAAAAAAAATCATAATCAAATTGTTTGCAAAACACTAAAATACAAATCGACCCCCTTTAGAGTTTCACAACCTTTAATAAAGATGACCCAGGTTTCAAGATGTACAGAAATCATGACTGTTATACTGACCTAGTGGATCATTTATCAGTATGAAGTATTCCTCTTTCCCCCTCAAATACCTATTAGATTCTAGTTTTCCTAATATTAAAAAAAAAAAAAAAGATGATCCAGGTTTCTGCAGAAGAGAAACCTATTTAACTTGGTTATTCCCAAACCTATTTGATATGTATTCTGTCCAAGTTTTATAGTTGAGTTCAGTGGGAGGTAAGTGGAGGTGTGTGTTTACTTCACATAGTCGGCGGAGTCATTTCTTTGGCACACCTATTAATCCCTGGTAACGCAAATGTTTTTGCATGGAAAATATTTGAGGGAAATGTGGGTCTAGAGATTAAATTCATCATGTGTTTATTTATCCTATCCCTTCTTTATGATGATATTTCACTCCAGGTCAGGGGTTGATAACATGTGAATTTGTGAGAAGAATTCCCAGCGTAACTGCTCACAGATGGAAATTGCCACCTCAACCCCACCTCGAGGTGACATGAAGCACTGCTGCAGTCCACAGTCCCCTGAGATAAAATGCATCCACCATAACTTAAGAAGTTCAGGCATCGAGGACCAGGCTCGGCTTATCGCTCTAAGGCATTCAGCAGACATTTTCTGAGCACCTACTTTGTGTTAAGCTCAGTGCATTACTAGCCTGCCAGCAGCACACTGGTCTTTCAAGCTCACAGAAGGTGTGGCCATGCCAAAGAAGGTATTGAGGAGGGATGATGACTCACGGACCCCCAGAGGCTTCTGAGAAAGAGGATGGGTAGCTGGGCTGGAAGGTGACTGTCATCTCC